AAATTTTAAATTGATAAAACTAAAATAAATTTTTAACGTTCATATTGAAAAAAAATAGTTTTTGTTTACAAAATTTAAAATATTGCATCAAATATATTCATGAAGCTTTAAATATATATATATATATATATATATATACTCTAAACTTATTTTTCTAATTTTAGTTAGATTGATTAAAAATAATATATGATGATATCAATATATCTTTTTTGAAAATTAAAAAATTCATCAATAACTTCAATCATTTATTTTTTCAATAATTGAAGTTATTGATGAAATCTCAGATAAAGATTATTATTAAATTTCAAGATTGTGTCAATACAAATATTCCAAACATTCTTCGGTGAAATAAAAAATAAAAAATTGATATATCTTTCAAAAATTTTCAATGACTTTATCAAAATGGTTATCTTGACTGCACTGTCGAAGAGCTGTGTGCTCATATGGACCTTCAATTTCTTAAAACTCCTGAAGAATAATTTAACATTAATGCGGAATACATACTGTGTTTTCTAGAGCACATACAACTTCCTTGGAGAACCCTCTGAATGAGAAAAATGAACATCCCTTGTATCAGTCACCTTACTTTCGCAGCGAACATGCTATCAATATCCAAATCATTATCTCTTCACATCTTACAGCTAAAATGGAGTGAACAGTTGTAGCAAACACAATCAGTCCCGCTGAGTGAAACTTTATCTTGCATGCGATTGAAAGGTATATAGAATCTCATGTTGCAGGTTGAGAATTACCGATGCTGCATGTGTCACTAGCAGTAGAGCTAGTCAGACATACAGAATGCTAAAGGTACAACAAATCCTGAGAACTTAATTTTGACCAGAAGACGTCTATATAGGTTGGTTTCAGGTATATAACCCGTATTTCGAGGAAAATTTGGCACGTTAACACAGGGATTGAGGTTCAATTTTGATGGGATATGCAGACGAGAAGAGGAGCAAACACACATTTACAACTTAAGATTCAAGTTAAGGCAGCTCAAGCATCTTTCGCATCTTTCGCAATTCACTAAGGGAAATGCAAAGCTCATCAGTAGATGAATATTGTCCTGGGGCTCGCTCGATAAACGTTTCCATTGAGTATGCATGTGATGACACCTGACCCAGACAACAAGGACAGTTAAATAGGGTCGATGTATTCACACCAACCAACCTCCCTGAGCATTTGATATGGTTGAAGCTGGGGATGGGTGTATGATGACTACCTAGTATGCGGAAGTTAATGTCTGAAAAATATACAAAGCAATTGTTTAAGCTTACAGTAACATGAGGACGATGTTTCAGGGTCAAATATTTGCACACCAGCATCCGTCATCTCTCCGCAGAGTAGACCGCATTAAATTTGTAGAAAGAGATTATCAACAACCTCGACAGAAGTTCATAACCTCTAGTGTCTAATCTCATTTCCACGATTCTGTACGTACGTTTGAGGTTAGTACTACTTGGGAACTTCTACAGCAGTTAAATGACGGATGTGGATTTCACGACTTGAAGAAAGATTAAAATCTATTTGCAGTGAAGGAGAAAATCGATGAATTCTTATTAAGTGGTCCAACTAGTCCCTATGATCGAGTATCTAAGGGTGGCTCTTTGAGGGATGATGACTTCAGGTAGGTATATAAGTAGCAATTCTTGCTACTTTCATCAAAGAAGTTTCTCTAAGTCTACGGTCTAATAATCAGTTAGAGTTAGCCGCCGCCATGTGACTTAAGTTTTAGGGTCTTTTAGAGTAGCTCAAGTCTGAGACGGACGATATATATATATATATATATATATATAGTACCTGCACTTTCCACTAGGAGTGGAGAGAAAATCATCTTTTCTACAGTTAGTTCTGTTTTTAAGATGACCACACACGAGGATGACTCCAGTGTTAGTATAGCGCTTTGTGCTATCCGATCAAGTATCCATGCACGATACTTTTTAATTTAAAGTTAAAAAAGTTGTGGCCCTTCCTTAGCTGGTGAGCTTGATAGAATGATGAAGCTTGAAACTCTGATTAACATAGAGTTCGGGCGCTTTGAGACTACATGGCTATTGAAAGTTTTATCAAAAGCCTGCAAACATTGAGAAGTGTTTTGAAGCTGAAGCGTCTACTTCAAAACAAATGACGCTGATTAAGAGAACTTTAGATCAGATCAACAAGGACCTGATAGCACATATCCCATATGCTTGGGGTATATGGGCCAAATTAAAATCTTTAAGTAAGATTGGTACTTATTGGGGTCCTAGATTGAAATGGACATTGATGTTTAGATTAGAGTCTAAAGATGAAGATGTTGGCAGTGTGATTGCAGGTATGGCCAACTTAAATCTCTAGTTTTCAAGGATTTGTACATCACGCACAACCATTCACCCTCATTTCAAGGCTGCGCATCTCCTGAGTAGTTTGCAAGAGAAGTTTGAGCCTCTTGTTCTCTTCCTTGATGCTCCTCCTGAAGAGCAAATAACTTAGGATTATACGTACAACAAGATAGTCACAGTTGCTACAAGATTTGAGAGGGAAGACAAGTAAGATGCTATGGCTACTACTCACAAGCAGAAGGCGCAATAAGAAAGTCGGTGAGCAAAGGGCAAAGAAACTCAAAATTGCTACATATGTGGTAAAAAAGGGCATCATTGTTTTCATCGCCCAAAGTGGAAGAGCAAGAAGAAGAGTAGCTTCAGTTCTTGAAGATTGAAAAGAAAGAAAACCCTGAAGATTATACAAAGCATGGGATGAAGAAAGAGAGCGTAGTCTTGGCTATACAATCTTCAGATAATGATAATCATTGCAGCTTCATGATAGCTAAGTAAGATGTAAAGGTGAAATGTACTAGATTTATCTAGATAAGGCATGGATTTCTCATATGAGCTATGAGAGTTATCTATTGAGCAACATGAAGAAGATGTTGTTGAAGTACGTAGATAGTGAAAATGGAGCAAAATCTTAAATCTTTGGAATTGGAAGGATTTCTTTGCAGTGTGTTGGGTAAATGAATAGAGATAATCATCACTCCATGAAATTGCAGAAAGTCAAATATATACGCGACTTTGTCAGAAATCTTATATCAATGAGCAAGCTCACTTAAGCTGGAATTCAGGTGCATCTTATAACGGAAATTTTTGTACCATAAAAAAAGAGAGAGAAGAGTTGTATGCTTGAAGTCCCTGATGAAATTGTTTTTAAATTGTTGGAAGTGAAGTACTAGATATCAGAACATGCTCACCTTGCAAATGAGCATTCAATGAGATTGTGGCATAGAAGATTCGGACATCTTTCTGAACCAAACATGAGAATTATGAAAAGTATGGTGGTAAATGTGAAGTTATTAAAAAAAAATCACTAAAAATCTGCGATTGTTTTACTAGGATAAGTCACACAAGTTACCATTTCCTAAGAAATCATCAAACAGATCAAGAATCTTGTTGATACTCATCCACTCAAACGTTTTTGGTTCAATGACTTACAAGAGCATACAACGTGTACGGTAATATCTTACTTCCATTGAAAGAGGTTTGTTTACTTGCTGAAACACAAAGATGAGGTATTGGATAGATTCAAAGCCTTTGTAACATGATAACATGATAGAGACTCATATAAGATAGCAGATAAAGACTTAGGTCTGATGGACTAAGAGATAAGATGAATCACGAGTATCGCAAATTCATGGAGAGTAAGAAAGTTTTGATGTATGTGATAACTACAGATAGCTCGCCACAAAGATTGAACATGACCCTTAATGACAAAGCTAAGAGCATGATACTTTAAGCTAATCTTACAATGGAATTTTAGGGAGCAACTTTGAAAACTGCCTACTGCATCAAAATTACTTCAGCGCTAAAGTTAATTACATCAGAGGAAGCATGGACTGGTAAAAAACCTCATCTTAAGATGTTGAGAGTATTCGATTGTATATCTTATGCTCACATACCAAAAGATTAGAGAAAATAAAAGTAAAGAAAGGTTCAAGATTCAAGATTCGTTCGAATTTGTTAGATTAGTTCACTGTACAACTAAGGACATAAGTACTGATGTGCTTACTGCGGCGCTTTTTAGAAGTAGGAAGTGGGATTGATGTCAATATTGATTCACAGAAGTTTTCATTCCCTACGATTTAAGTCTAACTATCAGTTCGACATAACTGCCACATCAGGGTTAGGCCCTGACATGTAACTTGAATTGAGGGTTTTATAGTAGCTGAGGTGTGAGACGCAAGTATATTATCCGAACATTCCACTAGCAGAGAGAAAGTAATGTTTTCTACCGTTAATACTGTTGTTAACATAACCTCAACAGAGGCTGTCTCGAGTTTTAGTGGAAGAGATTGTATGGGATTTGATTGGGTAGGTATCTGTGCAGTGTACTTTACAGTATCAAATCGTATCACCAGCTGACCACAGAGAAAGGGGATGAAAGTTCTGCGAGAACGTTTACTTTTCAAGTGCCTAACCATGTATTAAAGAATTCCATAGACAGTAACTTAGGTACTAATATTGTCACTTCAAAGGTGGTTGTCTGAGGGAACAATGAAATCAGTTGTTTTCATTGGATTGTTTTGGTTGGAACAATCAACCAATTATACAGTTGTTGGACACGTATGTGATATGAGATTTGCTGTTCAGGAGACGTTTGTAGGGGATAGGTCAAGCGAAACGAATGTAGAAGAATTAACATTTCGACAATCCCAAAATAGCCCACATGGTTAATGCTGCGATGGATCTATGAGGAAGTGTCTTTGAAATATGATTTATCATTAACTAAGAGTGTGTGACATGCAGCGACTTGATAGTTCTGATTTTCACATTCGAAAAATGGAGTCACTAGAGTCTGATGCACGCACTCTGGTTACAGAGCGGAGCAAAAATTTGCAGTGCCGCAAAAGTGGATAGCGCTTCACACCAGAGTTTTTCTATAAAAAAAAATAGAATAAGACATGAATATGAACAACTTCTACCGCTACTCGGCGGTGACTAAACCTATGAGTCCTGACAACGAAACTCCTATATCACACGACTTGTCATCACATTTCTCTTGATTAATTTGTACAACTCCGACAGGAAAAAGAATGCGACAACGCTGACAACTACAATTGACCATTCCCAGCTGATGGTCTCCTGCTTGAAAATTTTGGTGTTGAGGGTCGGTATGTACACAGTGGGAATAGGCATCAATGATCCAAGGAGCACACTCCACACCAACAATCTGTTGCTGAACAACTTCGAAGCACCACCTCCCTCGGCGGTGAAGAGACTTGCTCGAGGGTGGCGGCAGTTGTACGCGTGCAGTAGAAGCATCCAGATGAGTGCCACCATGATTGTGGAACGGGCGCGAAAAACAGTGTTACATTCATTGAGCATTCTGTCGGAGTTGCACTCAAGTCCCAGCTGACTGTCGCCAAATGCGTAGATCACGAGCACCCAGTCGACGAGAATGAGCGATCCCATGATAATCCCGTAAACCATCATGTCAGCGAGGACCTCCTTGCCGAAGAGCCCTTTGGTATGAGGAGGAACCTTCATCGTATCTTTGGAAGCAGCTTCAACGCCCAGTGCCATGGCAGGAGGTGTGCTGGTCACCATGTTCATGAAGAGAATCTGAACAGGAGCAAGGGGAAAGACAGATACGCCATTCCGATCTTTGAAGGCCAAGCCGATGATCAGAACAATCACCTCTCCTACGTTTGTACTAACAAGATGAAGGATGAACTTCCTAATGTTGGAGAAGATCCTCCTCCCTTCGGACACAGCCATGACAATGGTGGCGAAGTTGTTGTCGGTCAAAACGATCTCACTGCTCTGCTTGGCAACATCGCTGCCTGCTCCCATAGCGATACCAACATCTGCCTTCTTCAAACTCGGGGCATCGTTCACTCCATCTCCGGTCATAGCTGCAAACTTCTTCCGCCTATGCAGAGCCTCGATCATCCTCACTTTGGTCGCTGGGGTGCACCTTGCGATCACCAGAGGCAGCTCGTTCAGGTCGTCAATCTGCTCTTCCGAGAGGGCGTCAAACTCAGCTGCAGTCATCACCGGATTGGACATGGGCACCACACTCTCGTCAGCAGAATTCGGGGCGGGGCGAATGATGCCAACCTCTCTGGCGATAGCCAGGGCAGTATCGTGATGATCGCCAGTGAGCATGTGCACGATGATCCCGGCTTCATAACACTGATCTACAGCAATTCTCGATTCAGGACGAGGAGTATCTCGAATTCCCACCAAGCCCAGAAACGTCATATTCCTCTCCACGTCCACCCGCTCCCACTTCGAAACAGACTTGGCCATCTCCTTCTCGCTTACAGTGCGATAGGCCACGACCAGGACTCGCAGACCTTGTTTCGCCATAATCTGAATTTGAGCACTCACGCTCTGCATGAACTCATCCCTGGAAGAGATCTCCACCTCCTCACCCTTCTCGAGCAGCCGGTCGCAAATTGCCAAAACATTTTCAGCTCCCTTGGTGTAGATCTCGAAGGCATCCCTTTCGACGTCGCGGTACAGCATGCTCATCCGCTTCTCCGCTGAGCTGAATGGGTACTCGGTGATGGGCTCCTTCCGGCTGCGGAAACTCGGCTTGCCCATCTGCAATTTGTAGGCCATGACTTGAAGTGCAATCTCAGTCGGGTCTCCCCACACCTTTCCCTCGCTGGCCTCGACGATGTTGGCAGTATTGCACAAGGCGCTGCACTCCACGAGCAGCCTGAACCTGAGGTCGCTCAGACACTCCTGAGCATTGATCGCCTGCTCTCGGACAGAGATCTCTCCGCTGGTTTCCCAGCCATTGCCGGAGATGCTGTACTGATCCTCCATCCCAGGCAGCCACAGCGTGGTGACCGTCATCTTGCCCTGGGTCAGAGTACCAGTCTTGTCGGAGCAAATGTTGGTGACTGCTTGCAAGGATTCCAGAGCCACCAGCTTCCGGACCAGCGCCTGCTGGCTAGCCATGCGCCTCACTCCCAGCGCCATGACGATGGTGATAACGGCGATCAAACCTTCGGGAATGACGGCGATGCCTAGGGACACGGCGTAGATTATGATGTCTGTGTTAAACTCAAATTTGTTCACGGCGAACACGATGACAGCCAGCACTAGAGAGATCCCGAACAGGATGTACGCCATTCTGTTGAGCCTCTTTTGCATGGGGGTGGAGCTCTGACCGGTCTCGCTGATGGACTTAGTGATTTTGCCGATCTCCGTGCTCATCCCCGTGGCAACTGCAATTCCTTTGCCCCTGCCCTTGGTCAAAATGGTGCTGGAGTACACCATGTTCAGCCTGTCCCCGACGGTGGCATTCTCTCCCTTGATGGCTTCCACGGTTTTGGCCACAGGCAGCGATTCTCCGGTCAGCATAGCCTCGTCCACCTCCAAATTCAGCACCTCGATGAGCCTGCAGTCGGCTGGGACGACATCTCCGACCTCGAAAACGATGATGTCTCCGGGAACCACTCCCGGACTCGAGATTCTGTCTAGGCCACCATCTCGGATGACTTTGGCAGTGGGCGAGGCCATCCTCCTCAAAGCATCCATCGTCTTCTCTGCACGATACTCCTGGACGAAGCCCACTGAGGCATTAAAGATGATGACAAAGGCCAGCACTCCCCCCTCTGCATGGTCCTGTACAGCGAAGGACACGACGGTCGCAATCAGCAAGATGACAGTCAGACCATTAGTGAATTGGGCCAGCAGCACCTTCCATGGATTCACTCCCCTCTGGCCCTTGAGCTCATTGGGACCGAATTGCTTCTGCAACTGGCCGACGACAGACTCTTTCAGCCCCCTCTCGACGTCAGTTCCCAGCAGCTCAGTCACTTGCTCGACTGACTGGCCGTGCCATTCAGTGGAGTTGGCACCCATCATCCTTCCTCGTAGAGTTTGAACAAGTGGCTCTCGGTCTGAAACGCTTGCAACTCAATGCAGACTTCCTCGGCCTTTGTACTGATCTCCAGTGGGAGCTCAGAATCCTTCACCATGCGAAGACACTCAGATTTGGTCCGATCCGCTCACTGTGCACCTCGAGCTCTTGCACTCTGGAGTCGTCCAGCTGCTGCTCTCGCGTCTAACTGATGAAGTGCAGAATGTGGAGCTGCTGGCCTGTCTTAAGTTCCCCGTCTAGTTGGTGTCTGGACTCCAGATCCCAGTTCTGCGCTATATTTGTGTGTGCAGCGCTTTTGTAGGGGGAGATTGAATGACAAACATGAAGGGATCTCAGAACTTGCGTGCGCTGATGGCCACATAGTAAACTGTTCCCTCTTTTTACCAACTTCTTGACAACTTCTGCAGTCTGTACATGACTGCATCGCTGGATTTACTGCGGGCACGGTTCACAACAGCGCCTGATGGCCCTCGAATCTGATTGCCAGAGCTACACTCATCCGAAGCATAGGGAATCTGGGCCTTTCGAAGGTTGTATTCGAGGTAAGTGTATCGTGTTTGAATGTGGGCCGGTGGTCCTGTACCCTCGCCCTCGACATCATCATTCACGCCCCTCCCCCCCATAGGATCCCAACAGTGTCGTGTCCTGTCACTGGTGTGCATGTGAACATCGTTTGTCAATCCACTTCAAGAACTTCCTCTGAAGATGGACATCCCTGTTCCGAGAAACATAACTCGTATTCTATAATCCATCATGACATGTTGCGAATGCATAGTCGCTTTGAGCACTGCACTCAAAACGTCAAAATTCTTAACGGAATAAGCTCAAATCGTGAGTTGATTGCGATATATATTTTGACATTTTAAGTTCGGTATAGAACAGCCGAGTTTTCCAAGTCATGAAAATAATTGCAGAGAGGACCATGAAAAGCAAGCCATATAGAGCAGGAAAGCTGAATCACTAAGGTTTTGTATCAGTTATGTTTAATTCCCCAGTCACATCCTGTCACGCCTTGAGGTGTGTACGCCGCAATTTAAATTGGGTCCTGGTTGGTCACAATCCATGTCAAAAGTTTATGTTGTCAATCCTGATCCAACTGAGTCAGACGACGTTGGAGCAGATACCATCCGTATTATAAACTGTTATAAAATGTGGGCTGACCTGCTATTTGCAAAGTTTGTGAACTGTATCTGCATCGTAGTAGGAGTTCCCCTCCCAATACCGCCAACACACACATTACACGTATTTGCTGATGTGGAGATGAGGACCAGAACCATGAACCTTTAAGTGCTACTCGGCAACGGGAAAGTAGGGGAATGGGTCAAACCCTTTGCTAGACATGAACGTGTCTCCTCAAACCACGGACGATGGTCCTCAGATGCATGCATCTTGGTATACGACGAATTCCGAAGTCACTCTATTTTTACGAGAGGGCTGCCACATTCGGTCTGAATCCAAAGACAGCAGATCAACGTGAACTGCTCTCCGCTGATCGCTTTTCTTATAGCAGACTCTTTGTCTTATATAAAACCTTGTTCCAGCTTAAGGCATACCCACCCCCTTTGTCGCACTCAGCCGCCTCGAAGGGGGAGGTAGTACCGTGTTCGAACACCTGTTCCGTCCAGAGATCTTCGGAGAATATCCTCGTTTGAAATCATGGGCGATGGCAGTCGTTTGTCGTTGCTCTTTGCTAGCACCAAGAAATCACCTACTCAAAAAATTCGTCACTAGAATAGCTCTTGTCTTTAGGTCTGGTCTTGCCCCAATTTAGACTCACTGTGCCCGAATTCAGAGCTCGAATTTGGGGAATCATCACGTGTCGAGCAACGAGCCGCAGGTTTGCTATTCTGCGCCCCATAGAACCACATGAGATTCCTTCGGTAGAAATGTATGGCGTAGATCCGCTTCGCAGGCCGCGGAGTCTCAACAGGAGTCCGAACAGTAGTCGCTTGAAAGGGCAACATTAAAGAGATGTTTCTTCCAAGGGAGTGTACCCTGGATATGGGCGGCCAGGTTGTAATGTGAAGGCCCTTCCTTGTGATCTGCACGGAATGCGTTCCGTACATTATCTGCACATATCTCCGGGAGCTTGTCTCGTGGGCGTGTGAGCCCATGGTCCTAATCGCTTTGTGGATCGAGATTAGACTTTCTTGGGTGTGGCGGAATCCATTACGGCCAAATTTAAGCTCCTTATGAATCGCGTGACTTTTGTGTTGCATGACGTGTCATGGGAATGGATGATCAGATTTCTTTGTTGGTTCCATGCTTTTCTTTCTGTGTAATTTCATCTCACTTCAACGCTAATGAACTGCATTGTCGTGTGCAGCCGTTCAGTGTTTACAAGGTAACGAGCTGTCGATGTGGACCAGAGGCTGGCCCTCCTGGTGTTTATGGACACGGCCATGTTCATGGTAGAATTGCTGGAACTCTTGCCCCTGAACAGAACGCCTTAGTCAATCCACGGTATGACCTACGATAACTAAGAAGTCAAACACCACGTCAGAACTTCCATCGTTTGGATTGTGAAAGAGAAAGATTATATTGTATTTCTTGGATTAATCAATCAAAAACTGACACGATTGATTACTGGTCTTGTTTCTCTACTTCCAAGGCCATCCCTACGAAGATGTAGGAGTGAGATTTGGGACACGTACACCTACAAGGGCAAACACTGACCTGTTGTGGACTCCACTTACATGCATGTCAAAGATAAGCATTAGACGATGGAATTCTGACTTTTTGCAGTGAAGAAAAAATCAAGATTCTAAAAAACTGCTTTGTTTCTACGAAAAACTGACCATCATGTGGATCTATCTAAATGCAACCTTGACAAGTGAAATGGGCCACAAATGCATGTCTTGGTGCTCCTCCAAAACAATGGAAGGAAGCAAGTGCAGTATGTATTTTAGATTCGGTACAAGTACAAATTCAAGTTAGGCGAGACTTTAAACGTCACTCAAACCAACATTATAAGTGCAATACCTCCATGGTGAGATTTAAGTGCAATTCGTAGAGACTTACAGTAAAGAACTCAAACCAGTTAGTATGCTTGGCCACGATGCCACCCACCTACAGCCACCTTGGGGGATGCAAGGACTTCCGAAAGATGTCTATGCTACATCTGATTTTTATATCGATTTAAAATTAAAAAATATCTCCACTTCTTTCTTTTTTTTATTTTATGATAGTTAATACATCAATTTTAACCAAGCTTTTTCAATCTATTAAACTTTCTGCAAAAATTGGTTCTATTCTGATGAATGTTAACAAGAAACAGATAAAAATTTAATATGAACTGCAATATTATGATTATTCATTCAATTATAGGATTGACTTGATTGGATAATAGAAATCTTGACTAAATTATAGCTAATAATATCATTTAATAGAATAAAATAAGAATGAAAAAAATATTTGTGGAAGATTTCTAACAATATATTTTTTATTACCTACGTCCATATATATATATATATATATGAAAAAATTTACTGTTTTTGATTTATAAAATTTCTTTAAAATAATCACATATTAAATGAACATATATCAATTTATTCTGAAATCCTTTTTTTCCTTTTTTTAAATAATAATTTTTTTTTCATTTCATATTGTAAGTTTGAAATGAAGTAATCAAAATTTATTAGAATGTATCAACATATGAATATATTTTTGGCTGAAAAAAATTTAGAGAATTTTTTTATATATATTAAATTCAAATTATAATTTTATAAATGTGCTTCTTTCAAAAGGAAAATTTTGTATTTTATTTAAATTATTTAATCGTCATACGTAATTTTTTTACAGAGGTTTTTTTATTATCTAAATTTGACAACAAATATTATATAATGAAGTGAATATAATTCAAAATTCAAAAGCTAATAGTATCAAGAGTAGTGATGGGTATGTATTAAACCAGGTCATTATACACAGTAGTATATTACATTTTAATAAAGGACTTAAAAAATTGCAATGTATTTTATTGTATTATAACCTACTATGCGACATTCTCATTTGCATCATCATCTTGACCAAATAGTTCCAATTCAAACTGATCAAAACTCATATCCAAGTCTAGGAGTCAAACTCTCTATCCTCATCTTCGTCAATCTTCTTCAATGGAGCATCATTATGCATGACCTAATTCGACGACTCTGCCTTTGGCTCTTGCGCCTCATCAACTACAATCGTGAGAGATGAAAATCACTTAAGGAAAGTTTACTTATATCCAATTCTATGAGATATCTCCTGTCAACAAAGAACCGTGCAATTGTAGCATATTGCAATCTTAGCTTTGACTTTGAAGCTGTACAACTTGAGTCAAGTTTTGATAAGCACTTCCTTGACCGTCTTATGATTACACTTGCCACCGAAAGATCCCATAGAAAGTTGATGAACTCGGACAAGGGCACAAGGTAGACACTTAAATTCATATTTCATTTGCTCTCAAACTAGATGTGGATGCATAATTTTCAATTAGAGATACAGATCGGACTGATCAATGCAAAGTGCTAGACATCAACAAAAATCAATGATTAGTTGTCTAACTAGATCGGGCGAATTCTTTGCGAACTACTAAAGAGCTGCTCGACATTGGGCGTTCATGAAATCCTTGCCCAACTTCACAAACTCCAGACCATATTTGATTTCAACATGGATGGATCCGTACAGAATATCAATGCCATGAATGGAGAATAGATCGTGGCTAATCGTTGGTGAAGCAATTTGACAAGCTTCTCAATATAATAATTCTCCTGTTGAGCAAAAACTGTGCGAATCTTCTTTGTGAAAGATACAATGTGGATCTTGATAATTAGAAACACACTCAAATGTAGTATAATGTAGAAGCATTGTCTTTTAAATGTCCAGTGGCTACACTGTAATAACCCACTAAAGGCTAAAACTGCAATATAGTGGTAGAAAGGTCGAACCCACAGGGACAGAGGAACACACAGGGTACAAAGTGTCACGTTTAACAGACTATTGAGGA